AAATAGGTCTACAAATGCTATTTCGACGAGAAATGCAAATTAGATTCAGTCACCAGAAAGTTCTGCCGCCGCTGTCGACTCCGCAAGTGCTTCGAGATCGGGATGAAACAGGTATTACCACTCATTATCACCATATATTGGACACGAATTACATGATATCTCCATTAACTCCAGGAGTGGATTCTTAACGACGAGGAAAAACAGGTGCGACGGAAGAAGATTGAGGAGAAACGGAGCAAAAAACGCAAGAATTCGGTCCAAAGCTCGTCGTCGGAGACAAAGTCGACGTCGGACTCGTCCAACACCGGGAACCCATCGCCCGGCGCGTTGGCCACGGATCTCAACTCCATTGAAGTGTACGACCAGAACAACGACATCAGCGACGACGAGATCATTCACAACATCACAGACATCGAGAGCTATATCTTCAGCGACGATGTGGTCGTTCATAAGGATGACGACGACGACGACGATAACGACGACATCGCGCCGGACGTCTACCAGAAAGCGGTGGAACTGGAGTTCGCTGTACTCCCGATCGCCCGACCGATGGGCGAGAATAGCAACACGTTTAACGAACTCGAGTACAACCGGTTGACGGAGTTGTTTACGGCGCTCAACATTATGCAGACGCAGTTACCCGAGAATAGCGTCGAAATGAAGTCCATGGACGAGATGTGCAACATTATGGCCACCAAAGTGGATAAGGAGATCAGGGCACTGGTCACTGTGTCCAAGAATTTGAGCGCTTTCAACACGATGTGCGAGAATGACCAGATCTCCCTGCTCAAGTACGGGTCCCTTGAGATATTCAGTATGCGGTCTGTACTCACGTACGACTTCATCAACGACTCATGGACTTTGGTTATGGTTAGTATTAAGGAGATTATGAATATTACACTTGAGACTTGTATGTTTTTATATTTTATTAATATATAATCTTTCTATTTTTGATTTATCAGGATAACAATCAATCAATATTACTGAGGTTTAGTAACCTGGAGTACGACTATGTGTTCGCCGCCCACAAGAATTATTTAAGAAAAATAGGCAAAGAATGGGATTCCGATCCTTATATTCTGGATTTGGTATATAACTAACAATAATTAAATTTAATTGTCATTACTAAACTATTAACTTTATTGAACAGTTGACAGCTATAGTACTATTTAATCCGGATCGTCCAAACCTGATACACAAGGATATGGTTAAGTGAGTATTTTTTCTATAGACTGTTTATTACGGTACGGTACATGTGATTGTATTTAATTAATGATTTGTATTTTGTACACTACTTTCAGACTTCAGCAACAAATGTATATGTATTTACTTCAACGCTATCTACTGCTTAAAAGTAAATCCGAGTGTCACTCAAAAGAGAAATTCCTGAGGCTATTGAATACATTACACGATTTGGAAGAATTCAACAAGCTCAAAATGACCAAATGTGCGCAGAGTCGTAATGCACCGGAGGCTTTCGGACCACTGCTCAGGGAGATATTGGATATTAACAACTAGATACTTTGTTCATACGTTTAGGGAATATTCATTCATGTTTTCCAATATAAAGAATATAAATTTGTTCATTAATTGTGAAGTTTTCATAAATTTTAAGCTTATTTCTCATAAACTATTGAAAAGATGCATTGTTTTCTGAAACTACAAAATAATTTACAGTTATAAGTCATGTAATACTCATTTGTTTTCTATTTATTCAATCAACGATTATTTTTCATTAATAATACATGTATTATTTAGTAGTTTATACAGTAATTTAATCTATTATTCTAAAAATATTCCTATTTTATAATATTATGAAAAATGTTTATACGCTTATTGATTAGTGAATACATTGAACTATTAACAACTTGATTAACATAAAAATATTAACGATTTATAAAACGCTTTTGAATAGATTATTTTCTGTATAAAAGCCCATTTTAAATGTTGATAGTTCATTTTGATTCATAGTTGTTATCACTGGTTAAAGATTAAATGTGAAGGCTTTGCGGGTGAGATATACCGGTATATATACATATGTCTAAATGTACTTTCTTATCTATAAATACAATTCACAAGGCAATATAATAAAAAACACGCTTATTATCTAATACAGTATTAGTACGGTAATACTTGTTTGTGTAATGAGTCTATGCAAACCTGATACATTAAATATTGAATTTACAAACAAACAATAAACGACAATAATTTTGATCCNCAGTATTAGTACGGTAATACTTGTTTGTGTAATGAGTCTATGCAAACCTGATACATTAAATATTGAATTTACAAACAAACAATAAACGACAATAATTTTGATCCAACCCTCCCTTGTTTAAGACAGTCGTAAGACATTTGTTTTGTTTCACACCGTATTCCGTGGCATAACGTTAGAGATTTAATTGTGCTTAATATAAAAATCAATTAATTGGTTTTATGATTTATAATAATTATTGAACGAAAGGTAATTAACAGTAATGTCTCAGAAAAAAGTGCAACTGAAATGTGATATATGCGGTGACAATGCAGTCGGTAATGATTTTTTATAATTAAAAATAATAATATATAATAATAATGTATATATAATAATTATTATTGTTATAAACAAATAATTATTTTAATCGACATATTAGGCCGAAATTTCGGAGCCATAACCTGCGAGTCCTGTAAAGTGTTCTTCAGGAGGGCTAACCTCAAGAACAGGGTAATTATGAGCCGGATATTTGTATTTAAAAATCATTATTGAACATGATGAATTTAATGTTCAACTTTAAACGCAAAAAGTTTTTCAGTTGTCGTTGGTTTGGCAAATGTACTGT